GAAACCAAAAGCGTAGCCCACGAAACCAAAACCATCACCCACGAACTCATATATCATTATGCGCGAAACCAAGATCATCACCCACGAAACCATATACCTCAACCACGAAATCATTATCCTCATGTTCCTGTTCATCTTGGAAATCCTGTATGCTACATCTTTGAGCTCCATGTTACGATAATTATTGATGCTGTGTTGTTTTAATTATATAGCAACTTGAGGAAGCCCTGGCGCTTTGGGTCGAAAATGCTCAACAACACGACATCCCTATCAGTGGGAATCTTATTAGAACGGTTGCTGTCAAGTTTTCCGACAAGCTGGACATTCCTGAAAATCAAAGAATCAAATTTAGCAATGGTTGGCAGCATCGCTTCCAAGACCGTTATGGCGTCAAAATGAATCGTGTGCATGGTGAATCAGGTTCTGCTGACACTGCTGCTGTTGAAGCCAACATTGATGATATACGCAACGAAGTATCGAAGTACAGGCCAGAGGACGTTTACAACATGGATGAGACTGCATTGTACTATCGAAACGCACCTTGTACTACAATTTCCAATCATTCCATCCAAGGCTTCAAAGAGGACAAAAAGCGATTGACCATTGCTTTTACAGGATTTCCAAGATGAACAGGAACATGAGGATAATGATTTCGTGGTTGAGGTATATGGTTTAGTGGGTGATGATGTTTTTTTCGTGCATAATCATATATGAGTTCGTGGGTGATGGTTTTGGTTTCGTGGGCTACGCTTTTGGTTTCGTGGGTGATGGTATTAACTTCGTGGGTAGCGCTTTTTATTTCGTACTCAGATTCATATGGTTTAGCGCTCGCGGATATTGGTCTCGTGGAGGATCATTTAATTTTCGCGCAGGATCATTTAATTTTCGCGGGTTGAGGGAACCGGTTCGTGGAGGAGTCTTTTAACAATGGGGAAGGCGAAGAGAGGTTTTCATACAAAAAATGTCGAGTAAAGCTCACTGGGTCCCCCATTGTTCAATGACTCCTCCACAAACCATTTCCCTCAACCCGCGAAAATTAAATGATCCTGCGCGAAAATTAAATGATCCTCCACGAGACCAATATACGCGAGCGCTAAACCATATGAATCTGAGTACGAAATAAAAAGCGCTACCCACGAAGTTAATACCATCACCCACGAAACCAAAACTATCACCCACGAACTCATATATCATTATGCATGAAAAAAACATCATCACCCACGAAACCATATACCTCAACCACAAAATCATTATCCTCATGTTTCTGTTCATCTTGGAAATCCTGTACATCCGTGGCAAAGTGTTGGCGTAAAGTTGGTATATTCGGCGAGATGGCGTCCCCAATGAGCAACGACGGCAAGGATGAAGAGATGTTGATGGACCAACTTGCTGCTCCAGTCCGTGCTGTTTTCGGCGTGCAAGAAGCAAATGTGTTATTTGAAGAGCAATACATTCATGAAGCCCGTGAAACTAGGGATGGGCACTTTATTCGATTAATCGTTGTTCGACATGGTTTGTTCGAATAAACCCGAATGAGAATAGGATTTGATCGACTCGAACAGAACAAGAACAAATAAGAAACCGCTCGAAGAATCCAGAACAAACAACTTTTTATTCGAATAACGTTAGAACAAGGAGGCCTTATTCGTCATTCATTCTGTTATTCTACAAACCACAACGGCGGATCCCATGTCCATTGAGCTGGCCCTTTTGAACGCTTTTTCTTCCGTAGCTTGACTATCACGTTATGTGCATACTACTGGATCATGTCGTATATGAGTATTTTCGCTTCATAGGTGTATTCCCCTTGTATTGGGTATAGCTGACCTTGTAGCTGACATGCATCATGCATATCTACTGCGGAGTGTGCCCCGAACGACCAGCTAACGAAAACACCTCAGACGCGTATCGTAGGTGTAGGCTGCTTACTTGGTTGACATGGCAACGTATTATAGGAGCGGACCTCTTACGATCTGTCAACCTGAATGTGCAATGGAGTGACACGCAATGGCGTTGGCATTGAAACCTGTAGGCATTGTATACCGTCCGAGTCCATTCGGGAATAATTCTGAAACAATAGGTGGTCCATTCGAACACATTCGAATAACGTATACAAAATAAGAATAGAATAAGAATAAGAGTTGAGAAGCCCGAACAGAATAAGAATAAAGGTTTATTTATTCGAAGAAGCCAAATTAATCCAGAACATGTTCGATTAGTCGGATGCCCATCCCTACGTGAAACACACCCTTCCTCCGAGGATGACATCCTGGAGATGATGGAGTCGTTGAAGTTTCAGGCAGCTGAAGAAGAAACCGTCCAAGAGGATACAGTGATGCAAGAAGTTCCCCAGCTGAGTACCAACGAGAAACTGCAACACGTGAATATGGTAATATCATTTCTAAACGATGAAATTGATGAGGAGCATGCGCTGAAGAAGCTGATGCTTCCATACAGGAACAAGCTACTGTACGCCTTACTTCGCTAAATAACATGAAGCAAACTACATTGGACGCTGTATTTTCAGCTATGCAATAAACCCCGTTAAGTTTTCAAAGGTGCTTCAGCTGTTTGAATTTGAAGTTAGTGACGATTTGAAAATCTCTACTACGTTTTTTACTCATTCCCTTCACGCCCTTTGAAATAGGCGAAGATTGAAATTAAAGAGTTAGAAATTATCGGGTGAGCACTGTAGTGAGAGTGCGAGAGTTATCAGGCACACGCGTTCTTCCTGCCCATCTTGGTGCGTCAGGGCCTTCCGTCAAGAAGTCAAGCTGCTGAAAGAGTTGCTGTACCTACATATAGGAGATAATTAGTAGCACTATAATAAGATAAAACGGAATAAAGAAATACATACCGGTGCTGTACAATAATGCGGCACATGCACTACACCTCCCTCACCCTGATCATCCGAGGTCATTGCTGCAGTGAACAACCGTGGCACGTCTGCTTGTGAATAGTACCGCATTATGCTTTGCACGGTGGCGTCGATGCGATGACGAGCATATGCTGTCCTGCGGCGCACCCTCACTTGTATCATGGTACTAGTCAACATAGCAAAAAAAAAGTATCGTGCACTACTTACCCGGTTACGTCGGCTGTCAAGTGTTCTACGACGTTGGTCGTTGCGTGCATTGGCTTCTCGCTCCTCCAATGGGCAGTCCTTGAGCCGGCGACCAGCCCTGTGTCGAGCATTCATCGACTCCCACAGACCCTGAATGCGTTGCGCAACACGATCGGGAGTCCAGTTGTTGACGGTATACTATCTCTGATCCATCACATATTGAGCGATTTCACGGCGTATGCCTACGTTGGGCTCATTGTTCCATCCAGCTGCAAAGTCCCAAGGGCGACTTGAATTGTCGTATCCTCTACGAACGAGCCTCTACATAGAGTAATGTAGCTATGTTAGTAAACCAATACACCTGAATAAATATTATAGACTTACGGCCAAAAGGTTATTGCGTGTTGGTGCCGCTTGTACTGCTTGTGTTGGAGCTGCTGGTGTAGTTTCTCTACCCTCCAAAGCTGTGACCCTTTGAATAAGATCCTAGACTTGCTCACGAAGGGTTGCGATCTCATTATCATCCTCACTAGCAGACTGGGTGGTGGTAGCAGGGAGTGTAGCAGGGATAGAAAAGTTGCCAAGGTTTTCGAAGTTCATGATGCTGATGAAATAAAAATGATAACAAAGTCAACCTACCTTCAAACACTTACCTGCCTTTATATATACTGCTTCGCTAGAAACGATGTTAACGAATACATTGCACTTACCAAAATGATGACAATGACCAGCATCCGAGAGGAACAATCATGAAAGATGACAATCGATAACGGCAATAGTGATTGTTTTGGTAACAGTATGACGCGAAATGACGGAAAGTCCGAAAATAGAAAAATGACAGCTGTCAATCTCGCATTAACAGGGACGCGTTTACCATTATCGAACAACCTGCCGCATTGTAACAAGGTAATCGGTGTCAGCAATCCTGTTCAGCATTACATCATCCAGTTTTTTTTAATAACACTTACCCAAAAACAAGCGACGGCCCGGATGGTAGTAAGCAATCACCGGGAAAGGATCATAAAAAGCTTCGTCAGATGTACCAAGACAATTCCATATTTTTATCCTTTTCCAATTTCCCAGCACTTATATCACATATGAGTGACAACAATAGCTTCGAAATTCCTTTTGATTTGGGCGCCTCTTGTCTTGCTAGTTTCGATGAGCACGACGAAAATGATGCCAGCAACCTCGATGCCAATCAACATGATGATAGAGATGCACCTACCGCACCTTCACCCATTACAATCTATGACAGCGACGATTCTGCAACTGATGGTGGGAAACCTTCTTCGTCTGTTAATCCTCTCATCCTCTTCGGCCGTAAAGAATTGCAAACATGTAAGCAAACTAAAGGCAATGGTGGGATCGAAGCTGATGATGGTGCTTGTACTTCTAAAGTTCGTCCACAAACCACTGAAGGAGTGGTAGAAGATGAAGATCAAGTCATGGAGCCAGTGGAGCCAAATCAAGAGCCCGTGGAGCCAAATCAAGAGCCACAAGAGCAAGGCGGGACACGTGAAGCTGTGGTTTACAGGTTGGACGATGAAAATAGAACGCTCATGGCACCAGCAGAAAGGTTTTCATTCGCCATGCGTATGATGAAGCTACGTGAAGAACGCCTGTAAGTACCTATATCGCGCAGCGACATGATCGCTCGTTTTTGACATACACATTGCTGTAGATTGCATGCATTGTTTCAAGTCATCATGCATGGACACAATCCTGTATCTCCACACCCTCTGGTAGCCGAAGTACTTGACGACATCTATTACTTTAACGATCTTGGTTTTTATGAGCGATACGGTAATTTAAGCCAAGAAATCAGAAGGAATAGATTGTAAGATACCTTTTTCTCCAATGAGAGATCGAGTCTAATGCACTGTATCGGATAGGGATCTTGAAGATATACGCCAACGGCAAGAGCGATACACGAGAGATATCAGCGATACTAGAAGGGGCGAAGACTTGGACGAGTTCGCTGGGCTTGACTGGCTTGATCGATAATCTTAGAAGAGCTGGTAATAAAAAATACGTCGTTACATACCATGATACTTGGTGATAGATGCTGAGCAATCGATTCACTACTTTTGCTTTTTAGGATATCGGCGTTAGGAATCATGGTAGATAAGGTGTAGTGCCATATCGAGACAGCTTACCGATTCCGCTTTGGAAAATATCCCGACAGCAATGACACCATAGCCAAATTTGGATAGTTACTGAAATGGAGCATCAAAGACGTTGTCAAAGGTATATAAGGCCAAGAACGAGCGAGCAACTTGAATTCCTTCGTCATTTTCAATATCAACCATGTCTACTCAACCATCCATGTCACTCCGCGAAGAAGCAGATGTCCCATGCTTTTGCTCCTATTACCGATGCTACCAAGGTCCTGGAGGTTTTACTTTGCAGAATAGTCGCACTGAACGTGCCCATCGTCGACTTGACCGAGAATCAGGAGGTGTGCTTCATTAATAAGGCATCGACATTGAGATACAGTGAACTTACTTTGCAACTATGTAATAGGACGCAACATCCTGCCTGAACCACCAGCTCAAGTACTTGATATTCTTCCCGAGGAGAGAAATGTCAATCATGCAGGTGATCTATTCATACTTTGATCGTTAGCAAGAGGTATGGCTTACACATTTTTGGCACATGTAGAGCTACTCGCTCGCCAAAGTGCTCTGCCACTTTACCAAATGGATGCAATCAATGCTGCCACCTTGCGAGAATTCCACAATGCCGACGATGTCGATGGGGTAGATGTTCAAGATCCTTACGACCCGAATGAAGAGCTGCCCTTTGACATCAGTCGAGAAGGTACAAGCAACGCTACAGAGAACAATAATGGTGACGATGGTTAGTGTCCCGCGACATGTATATGAGCATAATAATAGTTCCTTTTGTACTTACAAATGTTGCAACAATAATAGTAAATCGAACCTTCCTCACGCCTTTGCTTGTGTTCCTGGTACTCTTTGGCGAGCGATTTCTTTCACGCGATGGTGCTGTGGTGCTCCTCAAATTCATGAACATCCTTTTGTCATTTGTCACATATGGACGCCTTCGAAACGTCGTACCTCACAGCTTGGCTACCCTCCGCAAGAAATCCGGCATGGATAAATTACTTGAAGATGGCAAGGCATATGTCGTTTGTCCAAGCTGCCACTGTGTATATCGTGATGGAGAAGTTGGCCATAATCAATATCTTTGTGATTATCGCGACCTTCAAAACGACTTACCATGTGACACCCCTCTCTTCCTAAACGTCCGTGGCCGTATTATTCCTCCAAAGGTGTTTGCATATCATCCAATTGCATCGAGTATCAAGCGTCTGATGTCAAGACCGGATTTTGCTGAAGATGTCGAGCATTGGCGAGCCTGTAGGAATGATACTGATACTATGTACGACGTGTACGATGGCGACATGTGGTGGAACTTGTCAATCAATATCGACAATCAACGCATTCCTTTTGTCGAGTTGCGGTATGCTCTAATGCTGACACTGAATGTCGACTGGTTCCAAGCATTCGATCGTAAAGCTCCATACTCGGTCGGTGCCATGTATCTCACAATCAACAACTTGCCACGTTCCATTCGCTTCAAGAAGGAAAATGTGATCCTTGCTGGCATCATCCCTGGTCCCCGTGAGCCTGTCAAGAACCAGCTTAATCAATACTTGAGGTATGTTATCATTACAATGTTGCTTGAGGATACTTGACAAACGCTGACATACCAATGTTTTATAGATTCATTGTCGAGGAATGGAAGACCCTGTATGCTGATGGTATGCCGGTGACCTTGCCAGATGGACGTGAGATCAATGTTCGTGCTGCTCTCTTTTTTGTTGCTTGCGATATCCCGGCATCAAGAAAGGTCTGTGGATTCACTGCGGTTGAATGAAAAGATAGGGGACCACATTTCTACGCACTGCAAAAAGTTGTGAATGTCGCTTGTTCTTCATAAAACCTTACCCATATATACATTCGGACCTCGACAAT